GTTAGGGTACCAGTTTTTACTCTTCGCTGAATTATTATTTGATGCCCTTCCTCCCTCCCATCCCTAATTTCTACCATGGCTCGTCTTCCTTTTTCACTGTCGCTGAGCTTCCACCGTCAGTTCTAGTTATCACTTAGCTGTGTTCCGGTCTTTACACTTGGATTTGCAGCAAGTATCCTAACATTTCAACTTTGTTTTGCCTGAGTGCTGATAATCCTGCGCTGCGCATGCATGTAAGGAGTTATATGCTGTGGTAAGTTTTTTTCTGATGAATCAGAAATTTCTAGCTTCTTTGATCTAAATTTTGCCTATTTGATCGCGAACTACAGTCGTGCAATGCATTTTTCCAGCAATATTCCAGTGCTGTCTAGTTTGAAATTCAGCCGCAGCACTGGCACAAGTCGGGCGAGCGTTCCGATGCTTCCTTTTTGGTGTGGATTCTGTCCAAACAGAGTGATTTAACACCGCATTAGAAACTCGGCAATGCGGCAGTAAGTCTACTGCTGACAGCTGGACGAGTATCAGTCAATAAATTAGTCTCCTTGGACAGATACTTTGTTTGCATTTCATTGTGCCGCTTCAATTGGCCTGCACCGTCACGCTCTTCTGCGCGCTCCGTTCTGCTCCTCTCTGCTCTGCTCCTCTCTGCTCTCCTCTCATCTCCTCTCCTATCCCTTTTTTATTCTCCCTTCCATCTTATCTTCTCCAATGTATATCACTAGTGTCTAATTTGTATTTGCCCTTTTCTCTTTCTCTTTTTTCTTTTTCCCAGTGTTCTCATTGTTTACAGTTCCGTAAGTACTTTTACAAATCGATATAAAAATGCTTTGAACTAAAATGTAAAGATATCTTATAAATGTAAGAAATATTTGTAAAAACAATGTATGACAATATCAATACGTAAAAATATTCTTGTATAAAAATGCAAAATGGCCGTTTTCACGACGGAACTTTCGCAGAGGAACTTATTTGATACCTAAAAAGTACCTACCCTTAGAGGCCTTAACATCCCTCAAACTGAAATATTTTATGTTCAAAATAATTTTAGAAGTTTAAATCTGGGCATTTTTTGCCCTCAAATCACTTATTTATTTACAAACACAGCAATTTTTGGTTCTAGTAGCCCACCTTTCGACTATGAGGTATTAAATCAGCGTGGCAACTTGCTCCCTCTTTGCTCCCTCGGGTATCTAATTCCGGAATTCTTAAAAACAAGGAAAGTATATATCGAGTTCTCTTTTATACCTATTCAGTTGTGTTTTAATGGTGATTAAAATATGACAAATTTTTTAATTACATTTCATATAAGAAAACACGCAAAACAATGAAACAAAAATAACTACGGCAGATAATTACCTTCAGGTATCTAATTCCGACCAATCAGCACCCCAGTAGGATATGACGTCATACAAGAATGGTGGTGAAGGCCGTTTGCAGTCCCGGCCGGTAGGTCACGTGACCGCCGGGCGCCTCGGGTCACGCGGCGGTCGGGAGTCGGACGCGGGGCGTGGTCGCGGGCGGACGCGCGGGGCATCATGCTTTGCTTTGCTTGCTTTGTCAACTTCATATAACTTACTATCGCATTCGTGTGAAAGCCAAACACTGCTCAGTGCCCTTAGAAATTGAGTTTTGGAAAGCTAAAGTCCCTATAGCTCCTCAGGTCGGCAACAGTTGAAGCCTCATCTGAACCCATGTGAAAAAAACGAGGGTAAGGAACCTTGTGTTGCTTTTTTTTACCGTCATAATCATCTCAAACCATCACAATTTTGAGTTGCCACATTGTCTGCTTCACTACATTCGTGTAAAACTTGGGTGAAGGCTGGTGGCTCAAAGAAAGGTGAAGATATTTCTTTAAGTGCCTAATCCGTGAAATTGAAATATCCCGGCTTTACAAATCTACACTTTTCATTTCCTCCACGATACATTTTTTTAAAATTGTTTAAATTTTATCTACATTTGTTAAAATCGGGGCTTTGGTTTTTTGTAAACTAGATCATAAAGTTTACTATAGTTTTGTGTAACCTGATGGCTGAAGAAAATAGTAATTTTGCTAAAATGATGTGCGGAAATTTGTTGCTTTCCAAATCAAATTACTCATACCTATATTTCATTCAAAATTAGGAGGCATTATTACTGTTTTTTCTTGTAACATGAACTGAGTTTGGGTACGGTGCTCCGGAAACGTTGTGGAACTTTAAGCTAGCTAGAGCAGTTTCCATAAAAATTGTTTAGATAGTTGACATGGCTTGTTGACAACTCTTTTGCTGTTTCTAAAAAAGTGAAAAAATATTTTCCTGCATTAAGCACACAAGGCATGTTATTCTCATAAGCTATCGAATGTGTGTGTGTGTTTTTTTAAGCTGTTTTTTTAAGCTTTTAAGCTGTAACTTCAGTTACTTCACTTTAGAACATATTGCCCAGAATGCGTCACTGATCATGAGCTGGTATATATGTACATGGTGATGAGGATATGTCCTCAGGTGGACCAAATGGTGCCTAAATCCGTTTTCAGGACGCACACCTGATGTTTTTGGTCCACAGTAAATGAGGCAAATGCTCGAAATGTCGAGGATGGCATACTGGTGCCGAGGACTGCGGACCTCGGTGTGGGGTTAAAGGCCTTTTTGGAGCTCCAACCGTCACCCCCACCAGAATGACATGCCCGACATTTCAAGATTTGCTTAAGAAAACCAAGTAGGCCGACTTTGTGCTTGAGCTGAGGGCTGTCCCTTCAGACGCTTCTGATACTTTGGAGTCATTGCAGCGGTACCAACGGTGAGTCGATTTTACAAGTGAAGTATAATGTCCTTGATGTAGTGTGCCTACGTGATTTATAATCCCCGTAATGTACCAGGTAACGCCGTTTAACTGAACAGTAGGGGCGAGCGACACGTTTGACGTATTTTTAGAAGTGTTAGTGCCGTGATCAAAACGGAGGAGCTGTATGCAGACAGCATCGGGAGCAACGAGAATTTGTGTGGATATTTCACTGGAGTGAGCATGGCACTGGGAACATATCCGTCCCCCGAGCGGCTGTGGGGCGAGTGAATTTGATATGCATTCCTGGAGAGACGGTGCCGATATTGGAACGCGAAGAATGGGTGGAATGAGCGGCCTGGGCGTCTCCAGGGTGGAGCCGCACGCGGTACATTTAATGGTATCAGTGATTTCACCTATGCCTACATTGGCGCTGTCGGCTTGGCAAGATAGCATGGTTTCCAGCGTTTCGGCCACGTCCTGCTGTTGACCTGTCGTCAGGGACGGATTGAGCTGAGCAATAGCTTTGACGAGTTCTGTGGGGCGGGTGACCATTTTGGTTGTGGCCCTGAGGCTCGATAAAGCATTTCTTATCTCCGTGGAGGCGAATGGAATGAGGCTATCAGTTACCATGAGACACTGGGCGATGGAGTTGATGAAGCACGTGTTGCCTAGGTTGTTTAAACCACAGGGAGTGCGTGCACCTGATTGTGGTTCAGGTTGTGTTTTCCTTGCCCTGGTGTAATTGAAAATGGTCGGCCTCGCATGTGTCCGGTTTGCGCTGGGAGCGGGGGGCTCAGGGCTCCTATTCTCCGGCTCTGCGTCTTTCTGTGGCGGAATTTCAGGTCTCATGGTGAAGAGCGGTTTCTCAACTAGCGTCCATCTGCTGAACTTCTGCTGATTTCTCGATAGCCATAGCGTATAAGAGGCATGGAGGCTTGTCCTACCAACGGTGTCGGCTTCCTTGAGAGATTTTCTGCGGGATAGTCCCATGTATCTGAAGAATGAGAACAGGCTGTCCGATGTGACCCCTCGAGCTCCAACTTCCACTGCAAAGTAGTGCATATGCCAGCCATTCTTCCTGCCTGTGTTGATTAGGTCGATATAGTCCTTCTTCCCCTGCTTGCGCTCGTGAGCTTGGTAAAAGTTTTCTTCCCAGCAGACAGTGAGCTCAGCCACAATGCATGTCTTTGTTGCAGTGGACCAGATGACGATGTCGGGACGTGCATTGGTGCTGGCAATCTGGGGAGGGAAGACGTATGGGTCGTGCTCTTCATCCCAGATTAGCTGCCAGTCGTCTGCCGCCGGTTTTCCTCGCTCAGTGTTGCGCTGCAGAGGGGGGACGTAATATTCGGTTCCGCTGCTAGATTTGAAATGGGTACCTTTTTTAGGTGCGTCCGTCTTTTCTAGCACCGGGCGAATGATTTCGATGAGTCTGCGAAGGACCATATCGTGACGCCAGTTGTATCGGCCGGTCATCAACGAGTATCTGCAGTTGCTGACGATGTGGAAGAGTGTGCAGTGGTGGTAGCCGCATAGGGAGCAAGAGCCCAAAGTGGATTTTTTCCAGAGAAGTAAGTTTGCTGGAGACGGCAGTGTATCTGACATGGAATTTAGATAAAAGCTGAGAAGTTTGTCGGAGAAGCCGTAAATGAGCTTCCTCCAGCGGACATCCAGGAACATCACGGCTTCCCAGGCGAGAGGTCTTCCTTGCTTGGCCATGTTGTACACATAGACCAGCGCGTTTTCTTCTTCGCTCTGTTTCACCAGACGGGATAGCTCTTGCCGGTGCTGTTTGGGTGTCATTTTAGATGCCCGCGGGAGTGGGATTAAACCTAGCCCTGCTCGGCCAAAATTGCCGCGGCAGAGTTCGTTTAATGCCAGGTGACGCTCTCTCTCCTCCAGCTCTCGGACACCATTCCAGTGTTTTTTGGATCGGAGACGATTCGCGATGTGGCCATATATGAATTGTGTGGAGTTATCGACAGCGTATTTGAGCTGGTGAAATTTTACGAGTTGCAAGCATTTCAGTCTCGACGTGAGCGGTGTTAAATGCAGGCCACCGCTGCCGTGGGATCTGTAGAGGACTGATGTAGTGGTGCTGCGCGCAAGACCCGCCCATTTCTTAAGGTACGGTGTGGCGAGTGATTCAAGTTTTTTTGCAAATGTGATCGGAAAACAGTAAATTGTAAATTCCCACGAAAGTTTTGATACAATCATATGTTCATAGATCCACAGCTTACCTGTATTTGGCACAGGATCGGCGTCGACCGTCTTCAACATCAGCAGCAGCTTGTCCGTGGTGGCGTTTCTGACTGAGGTGTCTGACAGGTCCTTGAAGATCAGCTGACCCAGAAATTTCATTGGCTCTTGATGAATGAAAGGGATCGCCTCGCCGTGGATGAAGAGCTCTGGATCGGTTGGAGCCATTGTAGACGTGCCCGGGATTTTGACGAATGATAATGATCTGCATTTTGCTGGTTTTGCTCTCATGGTTGCTGACCACCGCAAGAAATGTTCAACCGTGGCGAGCATCATCTCTGCTGACGTTTTGTTCTTTGCGATGAGAGTGAGGTCGTCTGCATAGGCCCGTTGATTGTGGGGCGATCCAGTGCCGACGTTGTACCCGCGGTTGCTATGTTTGCTAAGTTGATCGAGACATATTTGAAAAACCATCAGAAACAGGACCACTGACAGAGGGCAGCCTTGAAATAGCCCTTGCTCGTAACTGATTTTGTCGGTCGTCCATTCGTGTGTTGATATCTTGACAGCGAGGTCATCATAGTAGCTGTGGATGATCTTCCGAAGTATATCAGGGACGTGGTACCACTCAGCTGCAAACTGGATGAGGTTGTGACTGACTGAGCCATATGCGTTAGCCAGATCCAGCCAGCAGACGGTGATTTCCTTTTTTCGGCGCTTGGCGTCTTGGAGAGCTTCCATCAGTGCCTGGGTGTGTTCGACGCACCCTGATATACCTGGCAGAAATCCTTTTTGTACTGAAGTTTGAAGGTAGTCGTTAGTTACTAAGAATTTAAGCAGACGTCTTGCGATTACTTGAAAAAATAGTTTGCCACTTGCGTTTGAGAGAACGATAGGCCTACATTCCCCTGGGCTTGATGGGTTGTCACTTTTGGGGATCAAGGTCACCCTTCCAGTTCTCCATTGGTGTGGTATTTTGCCGCTTTTCCAAATTCTGACGAAGAGTTTGAAAACGTGGCCCATAATGCGTGGACACTTCTTGTAGACGATATACGGGATACCATTTGGGCCGGGAGCCGATTTGTTCCTTGTTTTCCTGATGATCGACTGCATTTCATGCCATTTTGGTGGAGCAGTCGATATCGGAAACGTCGGTTGTCGGGGCCGGTCCATGCTTTCAGTGGCTTCGAAAGTTCTGTCTCTTTCTGCGTCCTTGTATATGGTGTTGTAGTACGTTTCTGCGTCATTTTTGGAAAATTGAATTTCTTGTTTTTTAGTTGGTTCAAGGAGGCGCTTGCTGTAGCCATACGGGTCTTTCCGAAAACTGTTGCTTGCTTTTTCCTTATTTCTTCTTTTTGTTTTCTTCTCAAGAAGCTTGCGGATTTTGTTGTGCAATCTCATTACATAAGCGAATTCTTTGCGTATCTGGAAAATATCTTCTTCTTTTGTGTCATTTCTTAATGCTTTCTTTAACCTTTTCTTTAGGGCGTTTTTCCTCCGTCTCAAGTGTTCCATGTTACGATCTTTGACTGTGGATCGCGTACGTGGTTGTGAGGGTGTAATGGTGCCAAAGCGCTCTTTAAGATATTGGTACATAAAGGATTCGCGTCTTTCAAGTTGAACCCCGGCGTCGTCAATATCTTTGAAGGTCTCAAATGCACAGCTGATTTCATCATCAATGTCTTTCCAAGTATCTTCATCGGTGGCGGGAGGTAGCTTCAGCCTTGCTTTGATGTTACTTATGTCGGCTTTTCGTTCGTCTGTTTGAAGATGTTTGTGCCGAAAAAGCGTGCCTGCTTCAGTGGTGGTGCTATGGTGGTTAACCTGACCGTTGCTGAGCTGGCTCGACTTATTGGCAGATTCGACTTCGATTGAGTCGGGCTCTGCATGCGTGACGTTTTTCCGGCAGTATCGTTGATGGACTGATACTCCTCGTTGGTTCTTAAAATATCTTTGACATATGTTGCATTGATTATTATCTTTATTATCTTGTGTGGCAGGTCTGAGTAGCACCTCCCTTGTCGGTTGTCGTTGACATACCTATCACATTCGACCCAGGATGTGAAGAGAAGTGGGGGCGGATCAGCAGAGACTGTTCTGGGGCTGCCAGAATTGAGGCGGGTACAGGCTGATCAACACAAGCTAAATAGCTTACCCACCGTCCCAGCTGGTCCCTGGCGGAATTCCCTACGCCCATCAGGAAGAAATCCTTATAACCGGTAACTACCCGCTGGCGGTTTGTTTGTGCTGGATTGCACGTCCACTTTTCCTTGTGGGCACGGAAGGCCGGTGGAGAGGTCTGCATTGGAGCTCGAGCTCCCTCATACGCCCTTTTTGCCGTTGGAGCTGGGATCCAGTTCTCGTCCGCCGCGCTGCCGCATCACGCACCAGATTTAACTCGTGGCAGAGTGCATTCTGATAAGCCACAAAAGCAAGGCATTCCCATATAGAACCCTGGGAATAGGGTGCGGTAGACCGGTGGGAAGCCAATAGATGAGGCGACAAGTGGGAGATGAGTAGGATCTCGGTGTGTGCAAGTATATACAAGGAAAATGGTGGACAATGGTGATGTCGATGGAAAACACGATCAGAAAGGATACGTGACGATTTAAGAGCACGATTTGAAAAAAAAAATGCATCGGAAAAGCAGATTTGAGAAAGGTAATACGTACAGGGAGGAGGATGAAAGGTGATAGTGGCGAGGCCGATTGAAGGCGCGGAACGGAACGGTGAGTAGTGATACGCGACGGTTTGAGAGCACGTTTGGAGAAACTCATTGTACCGGAAAAGCAACGTGTTTCCGGTGCGATAGAGAAGAGGAACGAGTTTGGGCACAGTTGGAGAAAACATTGCAACAGAAAAGCAAAAAGAAGAAAACACACGAGGATAATGATGAAGGGTGGTAATGGCAAGGCCGATGAAAGGCGCGGAACGGAGCAACCAGGAATGATACATGACAGTTTGAGATCACGTTTGCAGAAACGCATTGAACCGGAAAAGCAACGTGTTTCCGGTGCAATAGAAAAGAGGGGCGAGTTTGAGCACAACTGGAGAAAACATTGTACCGGAAGAGCAATGTGTTTCCGGTGCAGCAAATACAATGTAGACGGACGTGTTTCTATCCGTATATATAATCTACGAGTTTGTAATCAGGCAGTGATTTATTCGTGGATAAGAATAAATCACCGTTATGTTGAATGAATGGGCGCTGAAGTGGGCTTATGAATGGGGGACTGCATGAATGGCGAATGAATGAATGAAAATGCTACCCAGTGGGTAGGTTATGTGTGAGAGTGTGATAGATGAGAAAATTAGGATTGCCGTATGTCCATATTGGTTCCTCGTACGCTCTTTCGCCGTTGGATACCAGAGTGGTATTTCATCCGCCACGGTGCCGCCCACCGTACCATCTTATATGCTAATGGTAGAGCGTGTTGTGCGGCTATTTACCCACCGTCAAGAGGTTTGACCTCATTAAATATGTACATGGTGATGAGGATATGTCCTCAGGTGGACCAAATGGTGCCTAAATCCGTTTTCAGGACGCACACCTGATGTTTTTGGTCCACAGTAAATGAGGCAAATGCTCGAAATGTCGAGGATGGCATACTGGTGCCGAGGACTGCGGACCTCGGTGTGGGGTTAAAGGCCTTTTTGGAGCTCCAACCGTCACCCCCACCAGAATGACATGCCCGACATTTCAAGATTTGCTTAAGAAAACCAAGTAGGCCGACTTTGTGCTTGAGCTGAGGGCTGTCCCTTCAGACGCTTCTGATACTTTGGAGTCATTGCAGCGGTACCAACGGTGAGTCGATTTTACAAGTGAAGTATAATGTCCTTGATGTAGTGTGCCTACGTGATTTATAATCCCCGTAATGTACCAGGTAACGCCGTTTAACTGAACAGTAGGGGCGAGCGACACGTTTGACGTATTTTTAGAAGTGTTAGTGCCGTGATCAAAACGGAGGAGCTGTATGCAGACAGCATCGGGAGCAACGAGAATTTGTGTGGATATTTCACTGGAGTGAGCATGGCACTGGGAACATATCCGTCCCCCGAGCGGCTGTGGGGCGAGTGAATTTGATATGCATTCCTGGAGAGACGGTGCCGATATTGGAACGCGAAGAATGGGTGGAATGAGCGGCCTGGGCGTCTCCAGGGTGGAGCCGCACGCGGTACATTTAATGGTATCAGTGATTTCACCTATGCCTACATTGGCGCTGTCGGCTTGGCAAGATAGCATGGTTTCCAGCGTTTCGGCCACGTCCTGCTGTTGACCTGTCGTCAGGGACGGATTGAGCTGAGCAATAGCTTTGACGAGTTCTGTGGGGCGGGTGACCATTTTGGTTGTGGCCCTGAGGCTCGATAAAGCATTTCTTATCTCCGTGGAGGCGAATGGAATGAGGCTATCAGTTACCATGAGACACTGGGCGATGGAGTTGATGAAGCACGTGTTGCCTAGGTTGTTTAAACCACAGGGAGTGCGTGCACCTGATTGTGGTTCAGGTTGTGTTTTCCTTGCCCTGGTGTAATTGAAAATGGTCGGCCTCGCATGTGTCCGGTTTGCGCTGGGAGCGGGGGGCTCAGGGCTCCTATTCTCCGGCTCTGCGTCTTTCTGTGGCGGAATTTCAGGTCTCATGGTGAAGAGCGGTTTCTCAACTAGCGTCCATCTGCTGAACTTCTGCTGATTTCTCGATAGCCATAGCGTATAAGAGGCATGGAGGCTTGTCCTACCAACGGTGTCGGCTTCCTTGAGAGATTTTCTGCGGGATAGTCCCATGTATCTGAAGAATGAGAACAGGCTGTCCGATGTGACCCCTCGAGCTCCAACTTCCACTGCAAAGTAGTGCATATGCCAGCCATTCTTCCTGCCTGTGTTGATTAGGTCGATATAGTCCTTCTTCCCCTGCTTGCGCTCGTGAGCTTGGTAAAAGTTTTCTTCCCAGCAGACAGTGAGCTCAGCCACAATGCATGTCTTTGTTGCAGTGGACCAGATGACGATGTCGGGACGTGCATTGGTGCTGGCAATCTGGGGAGGGAAGACGTATGGGTCGTGCTCTTCATCCCAGATTAGCTGCCAGTCGTCTGCCGCCGGTTTTCCTCGCTCAGTGTTGCGCTGCAGAGGGGGGACGTAATATTCGGTTCCGCTGCTAGATTTGAAATGGGTACCTTTTTTAGGTGCGTCCGTCTTTTCTAGCACCGGGCGAATGATTTCGATGAGTCTGCGAAGGACCATATCGTGACGCCAGTTGTATCGGCCGGTCATCAACGAGTATCTGCAGTTGCTGACGATGTGGAAGAGTGTGCAGTGGTGGTAGCCGCATAGGGAGCAAGAGCCCAAAGTGGATTTTTTCCAGAGAAGTAAGTTTGCTGGAGACGGCAGTGTATCTGACATGGAATTTAGATAAAAGCTGAGAAGTTTGTCGGAGAAGCCGTAAATGAGCTTCCTCCAGCGGACATCCAGGAACATCACGGCTTCCCAGGCGAGAGGTCTTCCTTGCTTGGCCATGTTGTACACATAGACCAGCGCGTTTTCTTCTTCGCTCTGTTTCACCAGACGGGATAGCTCTTGCCGGTGCTGTTTGGGTGTCATTTTAGATGCCCGCGGGAGTGGGATTAAACCTAGCCCTGCTCGGCCAAAATTGCCGCGGCAGAGTTCGTTTAATGCCAGGTGACGCTCTCTCTCCTCCAGCTCTCGGACACCATTCCAGTGTTTTTTGGATCGGAGACGATTCGCGATGTGGCCATATATGAATTGTGTGGAGTTATCGACAGCGTATTTGAGCTGGTGAAATTTTACGAGTTGCAAGCATTTCAGTCTCGACGTGAGCGGTGTTAAATGCAGGCCACCGCTGCCGTGGGATCTGTAGAGGACTGATGTAGTGGTGCTGCGCGCAAGACCCGCCCATTTCTTAAGGTACGGTGTGGCGAGTGATTCAAGTTTTTTTGCAAATGTGATCGGAAAACAGTAAATTGTAAATTCCCACGAAAGTTTTGATACAATCATATGTTCATAGATCCACAGCTTACCTGTATTTGGCACAGGATCGGCGTCGACCGTCTTCAACATCAGCAGCAGCTTGTCCGTGGTGGCGTTTCTGACTGAGGTGTCTGACAGGTCCTTGAAGATCAGCTGACCCAGAAATTTCATTGGCTCTTGATGAATGAAAGGGATCGCCTCGCCGTGGATGAAGAGCTCTGGATCGGTTGGAGCCATTGTAGACGTGCCCGGGATTTTGACGAATGATAATGATCTGCATTTTGCTGGTTTTGCTCTCATGGTTGCTGACCACCGCAAGAAATGTTCAACCGTGGCGAGCATCATCTCTGCTGACGTTTTGTTCTTTGCGATGAGAGTGAGGTCGTCTGCATAGGCCCGTTGATTGTGGGGCGATCCAGTGCCGACGTTGTACCCGCGGTTGCTATGTTTGCTAAGTTGATCGAGACATATTTGAAAAACCATCAGAAACAGGACCACTGACAGAGGGCAGCCTTGAAATAGCCCTTGCTCGTAACTGATTTTGTCGGTCGTCCATTCGTGTGTTGATATCTTGACAGCGAGGTCATCATAGTAGCTGTGGATGATCTTCCGAAGT